ACTCCCGCAAAATGGGGCCTGGACTGTTAGGTCTCGAGGGGGAATGGGGTCTGGACTTCTGGAACCCAGATGAGCTAGGGGCTATTGATTCGTGGTTCCTTGGGGAGAGGGGCTGGGGACTCGGACGCCTGGTTTCCAGAGGAAAGTGTGTCAGCTTCTAGGGCAGAGATGTTGAGAACCTAGATGTGCATGCGTCTCAGGGAGTGATTCCCAGCGACCCCCTAGGCCTCGGGAATGGGAGATCTGGGGGCTGGGATTTTTCACGGAAGTTGGGGGGAGGTGCTGCAGAGGAGCGCCCTCCTCCCCCTTCCTCAGTTTCCACGACGCTGGTGGAAAGTTGGGTCAGAGGGGAAAGTGCGAAGCAAAGGGAAGGAAACGGCGGCGGCGGAGGCGGATGCTGCACCTGAAAGCTAAGATTGGCTTTGGAGTTCGCAGACGGAGTCAATGTGCCAGTTTTTCCGTGCAGGAGGGCGAGGCAGGGACCCAAAACCACTCCCCCGCGTGGTTGGGTGACTTAAAGACCCCTAATTATTTCCCTCCATCTCCCCCCCCCCCCCCCCCCCCAGTGAGCCGGGGTGAACGCAGCCACTGCCCGTCACAAACAGTGAAGAAGCTCCTGGAGGAACAGAGGCGCCGTCAGCAGCAGCCTGATGCTGGTGGGGTACCGGTAAGGCCCAAGGAGGCTTGTGAACTACAACTCTCATGAGGCTCTGCCCCATTGGGCAAGGACTTGATGGCCTGCTGGGCCCTCAGAACAGATGAGAGGCTAGTCCTGACTTAGATACGCTGTGGGTGGGGGAATGGATGCTGAGGGATCGGTCATATAAATTCTCCCTTGTTCCTTTTTGTCTCTGCCTCTACAGGGACAGTTTCCACCTCCTCTGGCCCAGTCCCTGACCCCATCTGTGAATGAGAGTGAGGCAGGTAAGTCTGGAAAATCATCTGCTTCCCTCAGCTCACAGCCCCAGCTTTCTTCAGGGACTCAAACATTCCAAATCTTAGGACTTTTGGGAGCGTAGGAGTCAGACCTTCTCTTGCTGGGACCCAGTGGCAGTTTGATCTCCCAGATTCTTTGGAGCCCTGTAATCTATGTACGGAGCCCTTCCGTGTTGCAGGGGCCCAGGCTCCCAGCCTTCTGTTGCTCCGGGAGTCTAGGCCCTCAGCCCCACAGTGTCCCAGGAGTCCAGGTTTCAGAAGTCCAAGCTTCCAACCCCTCGGCGTCCTGGATTCGGGGTCCCAGCCCTTTGGTGTCCCACACGGACGAGGACTAGCGCCCAGCACCTTGGGAGGTTCCAGGCTCTCACACAGGTCCTCCAGCCTTGATGACTTCCCTGACTCTGGTAACCAGGCCTGCCCCTGCTCCTCCTCTCACACACAGGCCATTCTCGCTTGCCAGTACACCAGGAGACTGTGGGTTCTGGACTTGGCAGCCTGGCCCCCACCACAGGCTTTCCAGACTGGGACCCCAACACGCATGCTGCCTACACAGACAGCCCCTACTCTTACCCTGCTTCTGCTGCTGAAGGTTTCCTGACTCCCGACTTCTACCCACCCTCCGACCCAGGGCGCCAGTGTCCATTTTCTGTGGGGATGGAGGTGAGATACAGAGTGGGAACAGGATACTGAAGGGCCCCTAAAATCCCCAGTTGCCCTCATGCCGGATTAAGGTCCTATTCTTCAGATGGGCAACACTGAGGCCCAGAGGTCCAAGGTCACTTGGTACAGATGGGACACCCGGCCACTGTACCTGGCACTCTGTATGTGTATGTATATATGTTAGGAAGAGAGAATGCTCAGCTGATTGGCTCTTCCCACCACATGCACCCTTCAGGACCCCCTGGATACCCGGCTTTATGCAGAACCTTCCCTGCCACAGGCAGGATCCTGGAGAGGTTCTGGACTCCCCTCAGGACCCCCACAGATGCCTCCCGTGACCACCGGACCATCTCTGGACACAGCCCGTGCTCACATGCTGGCTTTGGGGCCACAACGGCTGCTGGCCCAGGATGAGGAGGGAGACACGTGAGTATAGGGGATCGCAGTCTGCGTGCTCCTGGCTTAGCTGGGGTGCTGTGCTCACTGGTGTCCCCCTACCTGTCCTCAGGCTCCTGCACCTGTTTGCGGCTCGTGGCTTGCGCTGGGCAGCATATGCTGCAGCTGAGATGCTCCAAATGTACAGACATCTGGACATTCGTGAGCATAAGGGCAAGGTGAGGGCCAGGGGCCTGGACTCCTGGATTGAAGGCAGAAGGTCTGGGGCCTGGATTTCAGACGGGGGCCCCAGACTGACCTTCTTATGTCTTGCAGACCCCTCTCCTGGTGGCTGCCGCCGCCAACCAGCCCCTGATTGTGGAGGATCTACTGAACCTGGGAGCAGAGCCCAATGCCACTGATCATCGGGGACGTTCTGTCTTGCATGTGGCCGCTACCTATGGGCTCCCAGGAGTCCTCTCGGTATGGCCCGCTGACCAGAGGGGTGGATGGGATGGACTGGTTGCTCAAATCATGGCTTCCGGGGCTAGGAGGCCCAGGGAGACTCTAATCCAGCGCTCTGCCTTCTCCTACTCAGGCTGTGATTAACTCCGGGGTTCAGGTTGACCTAGAAGCCAGAGACTTTGAGGGTGAGTTGGGTGGTGAGCAGGGCAGGTGTGGCAGGTGGGGTGGGTGCTTCAGACACAGAGCCCTCACTGTCTCCATTCTGCAGGCCTCACCCCTCTCCACACGGCCATCCTGGCCCTCAATGTTGCTATGCACCCACCTGACCTATGTTCCCGGGTGCTGAGTACCCAGGCCCGAGACAGGCTGGCTTGTGTCCAAATGTTGCTGCACATGGGTGCTGATCACACCAGCCAGGTGAGCTGGGCAGTGGGCCGCCCCTAGGAGGGTGGGTCACCTGGATGGTGTGGGGCGGGTCACCTGGATGTCCAGGGGGCTTCAAACAAATGCTGGCTTTGTCTCTTCCCAGCTATGTGAACTTGAGCCTGTGACTTCATTTTTCTGTGCCCCTAAGAGTAATGTAATCTTAGCTTATATTTATCCAGCACCTACTATTCATCTAGTACTGCGTTTCATGGATTAGCTAATTGAGTCCACAAACATCCTTTGACATGTGTGCTATTATCACTTTTTCTGTTTCACTGGTAAGAAGAACTGAGGCACAGTGTCAAAAATCTTACAGCTTGTGAGTATCAGAGAAGGGATTAGAACCCAGGTGGTCTGACGCCAGAATCCACCTCTTCATAAATATATTATTCTCCTTCCTCTGATAGTAGCTTCTTCACAGGCTGGCTGAGAGAATTAAACATCCACTTATTATTTAGTTTTGTTTTTTAGTTAAAGAATTTTGAACACAGATAAAATCCAGAAAATGGTATAGTGAACTCCCCGTACCCAACATCAATAATCAGCAACTAGTAGCCAGTCCTGCCCCATCCATTCCCTCACTTGCCTATATTATTTTATTTAGAAAAAATTTTTTAGTGTTTGTTTATTTTGGAAGAGAGAGAGTGAGTAAGAGAGGGGCAGAGAGAGAGAGGGAGAGGGAGAATCCCAAATGGGCTCTGCCATGTCAGCACAGGGCCCGATGTGGGGCTGGGTCCCATGAACTGTGAGATCCTGACCTGAGCTGAAATCAAGAGTCGGATGCCTAACCGACTGAGCCACCCATGCATCCCTATGTTATTTTAAAGCAAACCCGAGCATTTTTTATCCATAAATATTTGTGTCTTTAAAGTTAAGAACTCTTTTAACCTCAGTACGATTATTCCACCTTAAAAAAATTAATCTCAAAATACCAAATTTCCTGGCCGTGTTCAAATTTCTGATTGACTCTAAATGGATATTTATTTTTTTTCGTTACAAAAACTAGGATCCAGATAAAGCCCACATATTGCCATAATAAGACTTTTAAGGTCCCTCTTAATTTAGAGCTTCTCCCTCCATCTCCTTTTCTTCTCTTCATAATATATTTGGTGAGCCAACGAGGTTATTTTGACTTGTATAAACAAACATATATTTTTTTTTAATTTTTAAGGCTTATTTATTTTGAGAGAGAGTGTGTGTGCACGTACGTGCATGCATGTGCAGGGAAGGGGCAGAGAGAGAGAGAATGAATCCCAAACAGGCTCCTTGCTGTCAGTGTAGAGCCTGACTCGGGACTTGATCGCATGAACTGTGAGATCATGACCTGAGGAGAGAGAGGCACCGGATGCTTTACCAACTGAGCCACCCAGGCATTCCTAAACACATAATATTTTTTAATGTCCGTTATCATTACAAACTCTTTAAGGGTACATAATAAGGTTTCACCCTGGAAAATGCATTTATTTGCTCCAAAATATGAAGAGAACAACTCAGTATAGAAGTGGATATAGGCTTGCTTAGGCTCCTGATTGATGCTGCTCAGGTCCCATCCTTATAGGTAAAGACTGTCCATGTGGGATGCAGGTACATTTTACTGTGCCTCTTAGAATGTGGAGTGGCCAGGCAGCTGCTCACCCAGAGTCACTTGGGCTGGAAAATTGTCATAATAAATGTATAGTTCTGGGATGCGTTCAATGTGAAAGGCACCCCCTTAAACGTGGTACTCTTGTATGGTGCACAACACCTATAACTGTATAAGGCACCCCTGGGTGCTTGTAAAGGGGAGACAAGGTGTCTGAAGGCTCTTGGGTTCCATGGGAGGGACCCTGGGTGTGAGGACTGGCCTGACCTCTGCTGTTCCCTTCTCTATAGGAAATCAAGAGCAATAAGACGGTTCTGCATCTGGCCGTGCAGGCTGCCAATCCCACCCTGGTTCAGCTGCTGCTGGAGCTGCCACGGGGAGACTTGCGGGCCTTTGTCAACATGAAGGTAGGGGCCTAGGCTGGCATGTGCGGGTTGTGTGAGATATGACAGAGAGGGGCAGTGGGATGTTGGGTGTCCTGTGGGCTATGGCTGTGGAGGGGACAATGTACGGAGCATGGGAGGGGACTGTATAGGATGTGGATGTAATTGGGGGAATGCATAGGACATAGAGGGGTGTGTGGAATGTGATTGTAGAGGGAATTCTGGGATGTCACTGGGGGCATGTGGGACATGGATGTGAAGGCGGGAGTGTGGGACTTGGGTGTGGCAGAATGTGGAATATGAAGGGTACCTGTCGAGGGTCCAGGCCAGCTGAGTCTGAATCCTTATCAGTCCTCCCCTCACTGTCTCCAGGCCCATGGGAACACAGCTCTCCACATGGCGGCTGCCCTGCCCCCTGGGCCACCCCAGGAGGCCATCGTGCGGCGCCTGCTGGCAGCTGGGGCAGATCCAACACTGCGAAACCTGGAGAATGAGCAGCCTGTCCACCTGCTGCGGCCCGGGCCGGGCCCCGAAGGGGTGAGCACCGAGCCCACCCTGACTGTAGAGCGGCCTCTGACTTAACAGGGTGAACGCCTGACGCTACTCATTCATGACTTTAGAGGGTGATTTTAATCTCAGAAGGTGACTTTGATCCCTGTCCAACCCTGACTTGAAAATATGATCTCTGACCCCAGTGTTGGATTTCATACCTGGTATTGGTGACTCCTCCTAACCTCTCCTTTCAACCTTGACCTCAGAGTATGGCCTCTACTTCTACCCCTGAATCATGACTTCAGGGTGTGACCTTTGATTCCCAAGTTTGACCTCCAACGCCCTACCCCAGCCCTGACGTCAGAGTGGGACTTCTGACCCCTAAATGTGACGTCTGATCCCTTGCCTCTACTCTTTGACTCCCAGTCCTCAATGGTAACCCCAAGGTGGGAACACACCCCAGCTTTCCTTCCATCCCCAGTTCTGGCTCCTGAACCTTTTCTCAGTGTTTGAACCTTTGTCCCTAACCCTAAATCTTGACTCTGAACCTCTGACCTGCAAACCCAGTTGATCTTACTCTGCTTCTCCACTTTAACCCCCAACTTCACAGTGTTTGTGTCCCCCACCTTCTCTTCCTAACTTCTCTTCCTCTGCCTTGTCTTGTCTGCAGCTCCGGCAGCTGTTGAAAAGGAGCCGTGTGGCACCCCCAGGCCTGTCCTCTTAGGACTCAAACCCAGAACCTGGACTGATTTTCCAGTCCCCACCGTCCTGTGGGACAGCCAGCGTATGCTAATGTTGCAAATCCGTGATAATGTATGTGGAATGTCCTGCCATTGGGGTCTTACATTAAAACCCCAAAATGGCTGCGGGGGTGTAAACAATCCCCAATATTTGGGGTGGTGTAATACCCCTCTCCCACCTACAAGGAGCCCTCTTGATGATTTCTGTGAAATCGAGGCCCCTTGATTGTTTCTGTGAAACACCTGGACCCCTAGCCCTTTCCCCATTGGGATCTTTTGGGGCCCCCTCCCCTACTCGACCGTTCACACCTAGAACCCCAGATGTGATTTCCCTACACAGTACTTGGAGTACCCCCAAATAGCTCCCAGTGCCACCCAGTAGAGCTCCTAAGATAACCCCCCAAACCTCCCCAGGACCCACACCATTCAGGTCCTTACCTCTGAGACATAGGAAGGACTCTTCTAGATGTGAGTTCCCTAGGTCATATGCTTTCTAATTCAGAACTCCACTGGCTGGACCCCCCTGTCCCCAATCTCCCCATTTCCGTTGAATCCCTCCCCGATGTGGAACTCCTTATTAAACTCAATTTGGACTCAACTGTCTGTCTTAATCTCTGGAGGCATTGGTGCAGGGGAGTGGCTGTGGTGCTCGGCTGGGTAGGCATGTTTGGATGAAGGTGCCTGGGGGGTTTGTAGCAGACACTGTGGGTGCTACTGTCACCCTCACGGTATCAACATCTGGTGGTCTGACCTGCTCTGTCCTGTCTGTGAGCACAGCAACCTTAAATGCCAGCGAGTTTATACTGCTTCCCATCTAACAGCCCTCCTTTCAGAAGGAGATGGCATAGAACTACTCCAGGTCCTGGGGCGCCTGGGTGGCTCAGTCTGTTGAGTGTGCAACTCTTGATTTCAGTTCAGGTCATGATGCCAGGGTTGTGGGATTGAGCCCCATGTCAGGCTCCGCCCTGAGTGTGGAGCCTGCTTAAGATTCTCTCTCTCTGTCCCTCTCCCCCATTTGCTCTTTCTCTTTAAAATACACACATACATACTCCAGATCCCTCACCTCTCTGTGAGGATAATGGGGAAGTATGTGTTCTATACAGGCTCTCAGTTTCCCAACAGAATCAAGCTCCAAGCCCCGCACTGGTTCTGGCTTGATAACATACTCTTTCTCGACTGCTTTCCCTTTTGTGTGTCATATCCCACTTCCCCTACCAATAAGTTGTCTTCAAATCCTGCTTCTAGGAGAAACCCTAGAGAGATGACCTCCATAATGCCCCCTTCTCGTAATTGCCCCAACAGCCTCTGCTCCGGACTTCATCTGAGCCTCATCCCTCAAAGAGCCCCTCCCCCACTGAAAGCCCTCTGACCCATCATAGCCCCCCACGGCTCAGAGCCTCTCAAGGACAACAAACCAAGCACACTTCAGGGCATGTACTACTGTCTCTACCCCGAAACTTGAGGCTTAGAACAACCATCACTATTTGCTCATGATTCTGCAATCTGGGCTGGGCTCTACTGGACAGTCCTACCCTGCTTTGGTCACTCATGTGGCCACAGTCAGCTAGAGGCCTGATTAAGCTGGCCAACTCCACTCACGTGTCTGATAGCTCAGTTGAGATGGCCGGAACCACTGGGTGTGGGCCGAGCATCCCTTTGTCCGTGTGGTCTCCCCAGGAAGGTGGGCGGATCTCTTCACACGGCGATTCCAAGACAACAAGCCCTTGCTTGCATCGTGCTTGCTGACATCACCTTTGTCAAAGTCATTCACGTGGCCAAGCCCAGAGTCTGGGGAGGGGGCACCACACGAGGGCTTGAAACTGAGAGGTGGAGTTTCAGAGGCCACATCACCTCCCTGTACCAGCATGCGTTGCTTTCCTGTGTATGCACGTAGTGGCAGCTGACCCATGAAGAATTCATGGGAATGTTATGTGATAGATTCGAACAATTTAACTGGAGTTAATCTTACAGTCATAGCGTGGCTTAATTTCTGTATTTTGGGGTGCCTGGGTGGCTTGGGTAAGCGTCTGACTCTTGCTTGCAGCTCAGGTCGTAATCTCATGGTTTGTGAGTTCGAACCCCACAGTGGGCTCCATGCTGACAGTGTGTGGAGTCTGCTTGGGATTCTCTCTCCCTCTCTCTCTCTGCCCCTCCCCTGCTCTCTCTCTCTCTCTGTCTCTCTCTCAAAAATTAAAAAAAAAAAACCCACCAAAACTTTAAATTAAAAAAAATTTGTGTTTTTTTCCTTTGTGGTACCTAAAGACAATTCTTACCATTGATGGCATCTTAGATTCTATTGACATATAAGATGCATATCCCAGGGCACCGGAGTGGCTCAGTTAAGGTCTGACTTCAGGTCATGGTATCAAGGTTTGTGAGTTTGAGACCCACCTTACCTCTCTGCTCTCAGTGCAGAGCCCGCTTCAAATCTTTTGTCCCCCTCCCTCTCTGCCCCTCCTCAACTCGTTCTTTCTCTCAAAAATAAACATTTTTTAAAAATCTAAAAAGAAGACGTATATCCCAACATGTATAAACACACACATGCACGTGCACACACACACACACACACACACACACACAACATGATAAAATTACAAAATGTCTCTAAGAAACTGTATTATTTTTTTATTAAAAAAAAATTTTTTTTTCAACGTTTATTTATTTTTGGGACAGAGAGAGACAGAGCACGAACGGGGGAGGGGCAGAGAGAGGGAGACACAGAATCGGAAACAGGCTCCAGGCTCTGAGCCATCAGCCCAGAGCCTGACGCGGGGCTCGAACTCACGGACCGCGAGATCGTGACCTGGCTGAAGTCGGACGCTCAACCGACTGCGCCACCCAGGCGCCCCGAAACTGTATTATTAAAAGAAAAATTAACAAATTGTTTTCAATGGGAAAAGAGGGCAGCGTCAAATAATAGCAAAGTTATTCTTCCTGCTGGAATTTCAATAATAAGTGTTTTAAAATTACCCTAAGTATTGCCATTAATATGTAAACATTAAGGAATCATACACTGAGCGTAGTGAGCAAAACGGCCTTTCATTTCCTGTTCCATCTGCTTGGAGCTCCTTACCCATTGTTAGCCTGTTGATCACACTTGTCTGTGAAAACACACAAAAGCAACTTTTTCCTCTACCTGTGGTGCTAGTTATAGGTTTCTGCTAGGGTTGTCTCAGTACAACTGAAGCTAAAACCGAAATCAGAATGACGTCGCAAACTGGGTTCTCTAATGAAGCTGTGGCATTGTATCCAACTTGCATCATGTAGGCATCTCCCTCACAATGTCTACTAGGTCTGTATTTAAATTTTTTTTTTCAACGTTTTTATTTATTTTTGGGACAGAGAGAGACAGAGCATGAACGGGGGAGGGGCAGAGAGAGAGGGAGACACAGAATCGGAAACAGGCTCCAGGCTCCGAGCCATCAGCCCAGAGCCCGACGCGGGGCTCGAACTCACGGAGCGCGAGATCGTGACCTGGCTGAAGTCGGACGCTTAACCAACTGCGCCACCCAGGCGCCCCATACTAGGTCTGTATTTAATATACATGACCTGTATTTACATGCATGTATTGTAAGAGACATTGTGAGCTCAAAGGCCCTCGGGAAAATTAGAAACAGATGCTCCCAGGCGCCTGGGTGGCTTTGTCGGTTAAGCGTCCAACATGATCTCATGGTTGGTGGGTTCGAGACCCTCGTTGGGCTCTGCACTGGCAGTGTGGAGCCTGCTTAGGATTCTCTCCTTCTCTCTCTCTCCCCCTCTCTCTGCCCCTTCCTGACTCATGCTTTCTCTCTCTCTCAAAATAAATGTTAAAAAGAAAGAAAGAGAGAAAGAAAGAAATAGATGCTCCCTCCCTAGGCCATATGTCAGAAAATTGTGTGCTGACATTAGAACATGGCATATTACTGCCACCTGCTGGGAAGTTGTGGTAAAAATGCAAATCCATAGTGAATGGTATGACTTGGAATTTTGCAGTGTACAACTTGAACAGCCTCAAATTACCAGACAGCTGGTTAGCAAAATGGCCAAGAGTATGGGTGCTGGGGTGAGGTTGCCTGGGTTGAATATCTAGCTCTGACCATTCCTACATAGTGACCGTGGGCATGTGATATGACTTCTTATATCCATTTCTTAATCTATAAATGGGAATGAATAATCATAATACCTCCTTTATGGGATCGAAGTAGTGATTAAGTGTGTCAGTGTATGTAAAAAGCTCTCAGAGCAGGGGTGCCTGGCTGGCTCAGTCGGTAGAGCACACGATTCTTGAGCTCAGAGTAGTTGGCTCAAACCACACGTTGGGCATGGGGCCTACTTAAAAAAAAGAAAGCTCTTGGAGCCGTACTCAGCACAGAGGGAGTGCCATGAGTATTTGCTGCCACACTGCTTTAAAATTTATTTAACAAATACTTGTGAAGTGGTTGTGAAATGGCAGGCACATTTCTAAGTCTCCACAAATATCAACCCTTTTAATCCCCGTAACAACCCTTTTGGGACAGGTAACAGCATATGTAGAGGGTTAACTCCAGTGTTACAAAATGGGGCGCATGAGGGTTTAAATTCCAATAGGTGCTTGCAGACATCACATACCCCTCCCTAGGACATAACTGGATTTCCACATATCAGGGGGATTCCTATTGCCTCCCAAAGAAGTGATGAAGGCTTGTGAATGGGAAGAGAGTTTCAAGATCCTCATTCTCTCCTTAGGCTCGAAGGTTGGGGGTGGATGCTGTGTGTGACTGAGAGTGAGGGTGAACGGAAGGCAGGAGAAACTGCTAGAAACAGCTTCCTCGGAGTCTACCCTGGGGTTCAGCAAATACAGGTCTAGAAGTAACACACCGTTTGGCACCACGGAAAGCTTCTGAGCGGGCAGAGGGAGCCTTCCAAGTCTTTGGGCCCCACCCTTCCTAAAGGCCCTGCCCAGATTTAAAGATCCTTCATACGTTTTTCAGAGGTGAAGGAGGCCTGGGCAGGGATCCGCACCAGAGTCCAGAGCTATGACTACACACTGATTCCCCCCCAAGAGACGCAGGATGGCCTGGTGGGGAAAAGGATTTTATTGGGATGTTAGTGGGGATCACATGGGAGGGTGAATTCTAGGGAACAACAGACACTGGGACCAAGCTGGTGGTCACCTTAAAGAACAATAAATTAACTTACAAAATAAATTAAAGTGAGGAGGTCCCAAGCAGGGAGGCAGCTGGGAATACCTGGGGATTTCTTGGGGATGGAATTTGGAATTGGAAAGGGGAAATAAGAATTTCCAGTCCCCTCACAAAGAGTGTGAAATGAACAATTTTGAGACCCCTCCCCCAGGATGGGAGTTGGGGTTCTGGGGCTCCAGGAAGAGGGAAGCTCTGGGCTCAGCCAAAGGGGTGAAGGGGGCTGGTTCAGGGTCGTTCCTCCAGGAAGCGGTAGGTGGGGTTCTCATAGCCATGACGCTGCAGTTCACGCAGCTGCTGCTCCTCCAGGGTCAGCATAGGGTCCACCTGCATTTGGGGCGGGGAGGAACAGAGGGGCATAGAGACCTGACCGCAGATCTCACAGCGCCCCTGTGCCCAGGTTCTGGAACTCCTTCCCCATATACCATGTCTTTGTGCCTCTCACCTCCACCACTCCATGGCTGATAGCCCCATAGGGCTTCTTCCTACGCAAGAGCAGGAGGGAGAGGACGATCAGGGAGCCCCCACCTGCTCCCATGATCAGCAGACCAGACACGGCCTCTCGGGATACACCTGTCCCAGCTGGTGCCTGCATGGAGAGGACATGGGGCAGAGGCCATCTGTGAGGCTCACCAGGGCCCTGTGTGGCTTTGGGAGTCACAGCCTAGCCACTGCCTTCTGACCTCTCCCCCTAGGTACCCAGAATAATCCTCCTCTTACCAGCTCATCTCTCTGAATCTCCGCTGAGTGGAAAGGAAAACCCCTTGGAACAGATACATTCACCTGGGGGAGCAGGAGGTGTCAGGGACTCAGGCGTCTGGGCACCAGCCTCCTCCTCCCCTGGGCCCCAGCAGGGCATCCCCAGCCTTCTTCTTCCTTAGGACCCCAAAGTCCTTGTCCTCAATCCCTTATTCCCTCAGGCCAAAGGATCCAAACCCCTAACACCCTCCTCCTTCAGACCGAGGAGTCCAGGACCCCTCTCCCATCCACCCTCAACGTCCACAGGTCTCACTTACCTTTCGCTCATACTGCTCCAGGGGGGACATCTTCTCTTTCCCAGAGGATGCAGCGTCTTGTTCTGTGGACCCTAACCCCCAAGTCCTATCTCATTACTAAGAGTTGAGTATGGTGCTACCCCTGCCTGAGGAGGCGGTCAGAAGGGGCACCGGACTTTACCCCAGCAGGTCGGGAGTTCCCAATGTATGGACCCTTTTCCGTTCGGGGCTCAGGGACTAGTGGGATTTGGTGGCTGGGGTCTATTCTGGGAGATACTCACCTTTCGGAAGGGCCATGGGGGTGTCTGCTGGCAGCCAGAAGAAGCAAGACAGGTGGAACAGTGAAGAAAGGAGGGCATCATGGAGGAAAAGGGTGGAGACACACCCTCCCAGCCAAGGCAGGAGGATCAAGGATCCTACAGAGGCTTCCACAACCTTAGACATCCGCTCCTATCCTCTCCCATTCACTGTGGTGGCTAAGATACCCCCCAAATTTAAGGGATTAGGATTGGGGGTGCCTGTCCCCCAAAGTCTAGGGTTATCTACATTTGGGTGAACTCACCATCCTTGGAATCCAGAGGCTGCAGCCCACCCTTGTCCTCACTGCTGCCCCCTGGGGCGGGGGCTTCCAATTCATTGGGACCCAGGTGCTCAGAGTGGAGAAGTTCCTCTGAGGGGAACATGCAGAAAGGGGGTCGACATCATGACCCCCATAGGGATGTCACAAAGCAAAACCAGGTGAATAAATGGCACCCTAATACTAGAGTGATTGGGGGTAGCTGTAAGTATGATCTGGGGAAATTGGGGAGCTAGATGAAGGCACCCCTGGCAGGGAGGACGGAGGTTGAAGTTTCAAGAGAATGGCCTCTTTTTTAAAAATGTTTATTTATTTATTTTGAGAGAGAGAGAGAAAGAGCATGAGTGGGGGAGGCATAGAGAGAGAGAGAAGGAGAACGAGTGAGAATCCCAGCAGGCTCCACACTGTCAGTGCAGGGCCTGATGCAGGGCTTGATCCCACGAACTGTGAGATCATGACCTGAGCTGAAATCAAGGTCAGACACTTAACTGACTGAGTCACCCAGGCACCCCAAGACTGGCCTCTTTAAAGAGCAGGGATAGGTGTGGGACATCCAGTAGGAAGTCACAATAGATCTGGGGGCTTTGGGAGATCACACTTTTTGGTGCTCATGCTCTCATTCAGGCCTCCTCCCTTTGAATCTGGACTGAGTTTGTCACTTGCTTTAATCAACAGAAGGTGGGCCCCTGCCTTAAGACGACTTGGCAGCTTTCACTTTCATGCTTTGGGGAGCGTGAACCACTGTGCAGGAAGTCCAGGTATCCTGCTGAGAGACCATGCAGAGGGGCTCCATGGATAAGAGACCCTGAGCTGACATGGAGAGGAAGAGAGGCCTGTCTGTGCCAGAGTCCCATCCCTTAACTGATTTGCTAGCCAAGAGTAGCCACACACTGACCAGATGGCAGAATCATGAGCAAAGAAAATAGTTGTCTTTAAAGCCACTATGTTCTGGAGTTCGTTACATAGGAATAAATAACTGAAACGGTGGAGGGGGGAAGAAAAGTTTGGGGGTCAATATCTGCCTTCACAGATCAGGAATGGGAACCAGGGGTCACAGGCACTCACGGATCTGGGGCCGCAACTCCTGAGCCAGGCGGGGGTTCTGGTCCAGCAACCCCAGGCTCTGATTCATCCTTTCCTCAATTACTTGAAGGTGGGTCTGCACCTGTGGGGAGGTGAGGATGAACGATGAACTGGGAAGTAGGCAGTTCTCTAGCCTACTGCCTAGAGATGGGGAAACTGAGGCAGAGTGCAGAAGGAAGGTCAATAGGGTCCAAGGGAAAATAGCATATACAATGGACAGGAAGTAGGGCACAAGAGCCAGTAATTGGGCCAGAGGAGGAAGGAAACTGGAGGCGAAGCAGAATAAAAAGAAAAGGAAAAGGTGTATAGAAGACAGGAAGTGAGAGGCTTAGAAAAGGAATTAAGGCAAAAAGAAGTAGTCACTAGGAAAAATGCACAAGAGACAATGTACGTATAACATACCAGGGATATGGCATAGAAGATAGGAAGGGGAGGAAGTGGGTAGGAGGAGCAGAAAGTAGGGTCTGAGGAATAGAAAGTAAGGTTTCAGGGATTATAGAGAAAGAAATGGGATGAGAGAGTCATATACAAATGATGTCTTTCTTCTTTTGTGTTTAAAATTTAAAAAAATCTTTATGTTTATATTTTGAGAGAGAGAGACAGATACAGAGACAGAGCACAAGTTGGGGGAGGGCAGAGAGAGAGGGAAACACAGAATCTGAAGCAGGCTCCAGGCTCTGAACTGTCAGCACAGAGTCCAACATGGGGCTCAAATTCACGAGCTGTGAGATCATGACCTGAGCCGAAGTCACTCAGCTGACCGAGCACCCAAGGCGCCCTGTGTTTAATGTTTTTTATTTATTTATTTTTGAGAGAGTATAAGCAAGGGAGGGGCAGAGAGAGAGAGAGAGACAGAGAGAGAATCTGAAGAAGGCTCCAGGCTCTGAGCTGTCAGCACACAGCCTGACGCAGGGCTCGAACTCACGAACCGTGAGATCATGATCTGAGCTGAAGTCGGATGCTTAACCAACTGAGCCACCCAGGAGCCCCAGAAATGATGTCTTTCAAGGGCAAGACATGGAATTCAAGAGCACAGAATGGAGTATTCATGGACAGGAAGAGAACATCGAAGAACTAGGAATTGGGATCTGAGGGCACAGAATAAGGGTTGCATGGAAAATAAGTGGTGTTTGGGAGGAAGGAGAACTGAGGGACAGGAACAGGGTTCAAGGCATTGGAGGAAAATTCTGGGAAAGGAAGTAGGAATCAAAGGGACAAGAAGGGCGTCAAAGGCAAGGAGCCAGGGTGGGGGTAAAGGGCAACATTCTAGGGTCAGGAAGTAGGGACCCAAGGGGCTGGAAAGGTCCCAAGACTGGGGAGAGGCGTGGGGCCAAGCTTGCCAGGGATAGGTAGAGGTCCAAGGGACAGAAAGAGGGTCTGAGGGGTGGGGCCCTGGAGACTGGGGTCTGAGGGACAACAGGGTATTTGGGAGCCAGGAGCATCTGAGCACCTGGAAGCGCATCTGCTGGGCCTTCTCAGGATCCACGGCAGCCACGTGCTGGTAGTGCCTCAGCGTGTGCCTTCGTTCCTTCTGCTCTGCACGCAGGTAACGCCGCAGGGCCAGCAGGACGCGCTCTGCCTGTGGAAGGGACAGGCTGCCTAAGGCCTGCCCCAGACCTTTTCACCCACCGCCCCTGCCCCAACGGCTCCCACACCTGAGGCGGATCTCCCTGCAGTGCTGCCAGGAAACCTTCCAAGGCTGCCCGGCGCTGGTCGTTGATAAGGGCGATGACTCGGGTGGCATGGGTCTCCACCAGGCGCTGTCGCTCACCAGACACCTGCTCCTCCAGGGTCTGCAGAATGGACTGGAAGTGCTGGCAAGGGGGTGAGCACAGGGCCAGGAGAGGTGAAGATAGGTGAAAGTCCAGGTCAACACTCTGGAAAGGCAGTCTATAGGGCCATGTGGCGGAGGGTGGTGCGGTGGATCTAGGCATGAGTAGAGTCGACTCTAGGGTGGGACCAGATCACAGGATGTGGACTGGAAGGAGTGGGGATACAGGAGCAGGCAGAGTGCAGGCAGGACCAGGCCAATTGGGAGCTGATCAGGATGTAAACTCTACCGGGTGGGAACAATCTAGGAACTGAGGCAGCTCATGTTCTGGTGAAATATTTTCCAAGTATTATAGGAAAGGTAAGGCTGTAGGCCTGGGCGGGGCCAACTGGAGATGGCTGTGCCTAAATAGGACCTAGAGGGGTGGAGCACAGATCAGGAATGGGGCTAACCTAAAAGGAGGGGGTGGGGCCTCTAGAGGTGATCAGTGAGTCACGAGGCTGGGCCTACTGAGGAGGGACTGAGAGTGAAAGTGAGATTAGAGGGGTGGGACCAGAGTCAGGGGATGGGGCCTAATAGGAATGTGAATGAATCAAGGATGCTGAGAAGGACCAGGATGCATCTTGCTGGGACTCAGTTTGGGAGATGACCACAGAGCCTACCCTGAGAGGTAAGGATCAAGTGAGGATCAAGGCAAAACAAGGCCAGTCTGAAGAGGAGAGAAATGCCAGGTCAGACACAGGCCAAGAGGAGTGGAGCCAAATGGAGGGAGGGGGCCAGGAGAGACCAATATAAGTAGGAAGGGGTGGGACAGGATGAGCCAAGACCAGGCCTGGACCCAACTGAGACCAGGTGTGTCCTAGGTATCGGACAGGCAAAAGTAGGACCCGCCAGAGGGTGTCCTACCTCATTCAGGGCCTGTCTGTCAGCTTTCGGCAGGTTCTTGGACTGGTTGTCTGCCATGGCCCATTCACGCATCACCTAGGGGCAAGAGGAACTTCAGGATCCTCGAATCTACCCTGCTCCACCCAGTGAGTCCCCCAATCCCTCTTCCAGACTTTGGAGGCTCCAGATCCTATAAGTCCTACTTGCTCTTGAGTTCACAAGAGGTCAGGCTCTGAAGGAATGTAAGTGGAAGAATGCAGTTCACCAGAGTTTCCATAGAATCTGCTGGCATCTCAGTGGGATTCTAGGTGGGTCAGGGATCCCTGGTCATCCCAGAGGTGGTGTTGAGGATTAGGGGTTGGATGGGGGCTTGGGGAGTCTTTGGAGGTAGTCTCAATGTGCCTCTGAGGAAATTCCTGGTATTCAGGGAGTTCCGTGTTGTGGGAAATCCTGAGGCCCCAGTATCATCACCTCATTAATCTGGCGCATCCTACGTTCCTCCAGGTCCATCTTGGCTCTCAGGAAACCCTCATGCTCGCTGATTTCTCCAGGCATGCCAAAGTACACGTCCACACCATCTGTGGGCCTTGCGGTGGTGGTCACTGCAAGGCCAGGAACCGGGGAATCAGTCTGAAGCCCATCTTCAGGTTACCCTCCCTTCTTGGAGAACTACATTTCCTAGAGCACACTGGAGACCACCATGTGTCTACTTAACCATAGATGGTTCAGGGCATCATGAGAGATATAGTTCTGAACTGGGCATGTTCTTGCAAAGCTTAGAAATCTACACCATCCTTCAAGCTTCCCCAAAATAATCCTTAGGAACTACCAGATGGCTCCTCCACTTTCAGGTACCCCCAAGCCACCCTCACCCTTTGCATTCTGCACAGGACAGCCCTTCCACCTCTTCTTTACCCAGTGTTACTCCCATCCCTTCCATTCCCC